CTATGTGGGCAAGCTTATCTGCCCTGAGAAAAGAACTTGTTAGGATTATGCAGTTCCTCAACAATGAACTTGGCTTGCTGAGAATTTGCAAGCGTATAGAAATGATTTCTAATGATTGGTTTTTACACCAGGACAAGTTTAAATTTGAGAAGAAAAGATGTAAAGTGAAACCTCTTATGTACATGAGTCCTGGTAAATCTTTATTGCTTATTGCAATGCAACTCCATGAGAGTAAAATTACCTGTATCTGACTTCAAGCTGTGATTAGTGAAACTTGCTATTTGAGGTAAAAGGCTCTTAGGACTATAACTAATTTTGTTTTGAGTTTGAATTTGGGTATAGTTGTCCGCATTAAATCAGCATCTGAGAGAAATGCCACTCAAAGGGAATGTGATCCTGTATTGTAAAGCTGAGGGGACAATCTTAGCCTCAATCTAGGATGGGATCCTCCTGGCTCAGTTTCCCCATTGTGTTCCTTTGGAAAGGTGTTAGGGATCTGTAGGATGTTGAGGACCACAGGCTGTTCATGAGACTTCACTGATGGGCGAAGGCCCCTCTCGGGTGTTAGTACATGAGCAGAATATTCTGGCTCGGTTCTCCATCCACGGACCTTGCACCCCCCCAATCAGCAGAACTCTGATACTAGGCAAACTCAACCATAAACAATGTTGTCAGCTCAAGCACAGTCAGGATAATGTTGCAAAGAAATGTATTTGTGGATACTTTGATTGGTATTCCCCAGAAAAATTCTTGGTGTTGCCTAGTGGTAAAGATATGTAAACTTTGTTGCTTTGTCCGCTGTTACATTGGGGTACGTTCCCATGAGTCAAAGATATAAAACGCTGTGCTGTGCCTTGAATAAACAGAGCTTCACCATCTTGTCTCCCTGCCTCTCACTGCTCGGCGCAGGGTATCAGGAACTAAGGTAGCCTTAGCATTCCTGAGGAGGGAGAGTTTAAGACTCTCACAGCCACTGCGCTAGACATGTGCAGAAAGGAATGTTTCCCACCTGACTCTTCCTGAGTCTGGCTATGAGGAGAAACAGATACCGCATGATTGGAGAACTGTGACTCTATCTCAGTTTAAACAAAGCTAAGGATGTTTTATCCTGTCATATTTGGTATGTCACATGTCCCTGCTCTTTCTCCTTCTATAGTAAGTTTCTATGCTCAGAGCAAGTAGTCAGTATAAGATATGCGCTCTTGTGTGTTATCTTATTGGGAAATCTAATAATGTTTTTATCTAGAACTAGAACATGCGCAGAAATTTATGCAAACTACTTAAGACTCCCCTTAAGATGTTCCCTTTGTTTAAGAGGATTCTAAGAGCAGTAGTATTTTTCCTGTAATCAGTCTCTTACTGTTACCAATGTGAGATTCTACTGCAACACCTTTTGACTAAGGAACTTTGTGATATTTAGGGATTCTGTGATAACTAGGAATTTAGTTTCTTGATAATACTCTGGAATTTGTGTTACTTAAGGACTTTTGTGCTAGCTTAAGTAGGGTTTTATGAACAAGGGTGGAAATGCATGCAAGCTATTTAGGGCTCACTTTGGAGATGTTCCTTAGGCAATGTGAGATTATAGTCATATCTTAAACTGATTATTGGAACTTGCTATTCAAAGACTTAATGGGACTAATGACTGACTGTTTCTGAGTCTAACTCCAGGTGTAAATATCAAGGAAGGCTGTCTGAGCCACTGATCCATGATGCCAGCAGCCCTGTGAGGGGCAAGTATGAACTGCAGGTATGGGAAGGTTGAGAGGGCAACTGTTCTGCATGTGCTGAGGTGGGACTCTCTTGACTTGATTCCTTAACTGAAACCTGGCAACTTTAAGTCTGGCTCAATGCAGTTTGCAGTTTGACATAACACTCTGCCTGGAGTTGACAGGAAGTTGGGGAAATATTGTTCCCTTACTATAAGTCTCTAATCTCCTAGTGGCAGGTTTCCATAATCAGAAGGTTTCGTAAGTATAGTAACAAATTTACTAAAATAATTGATTATGGAACATCTTAGGTTACTATAGAACTGGGACTAGTGTTCCTGTGTGTGTTCCCATATGAGTTAGGGTCCTTTAATTCTTGGTAATGGTATGGAGACAATTAGGTCAGGGGCTTGTGAGAATGTTATTTTGTTATTTGGTTAATATCATACTTGTCTAAAGTTTTGTTACAATTAATAATGTTAAAAGAAGAATGGCTTGTGGTTTATTTTGTAAATGCCATCAAAGAAACATGGCATGACTAAAAGTTTAAGATTTTATATACTGTGTTAAAAATTGATTATTTAATATATTTATGTATGTACTGGAGCCTGTTATTAATTCCTTAGTGAAATCTCATCCTCCTGGTGAGGAAATTAATAATGGATTAATGTAAAGTATAAGACACTGGATTCTGATGTGAATTTCTTAAACATGACAATTGGCCATGGTTCCAATTTTGAGTTTGTAAAAATGATCAGGGTTATAAGGATTAGAAATGGCAATTTAAAATTGTGCTCAGGTCACTTTGGTAGGAGAATGGACAGAAAATTGGTTCCTACAAGAAGACAAGAAGAAGAAGATGCTGAGATGCTGTGCTGAAGATGGCTGGAACAGATACCAAGGACAAGAGGACTTCATTGATGATGTTCTCTGCCAGACAGCTGTATAGGAAAAGACTTCTTGAATCTTAAAGGGACAAATGCATTATTGTTTTCTTTTGGGTCTCTGTATCTGCATTCATAAAGGGGACTGCCCCTTTGATTTGTCAACGCCTAGATCAATCCTTCCCATATTTACTTAAAAGGGTGATGGTTAAGGGGAAGAATTCAGATGAGAAAGAGAGTAAGGAAGTGAAGGAGGCAACGAGGAAGACATGAGAGAAGAAGTTTATCAACAATGGTGAGGGAACTTCAAGACAGGATAAATGGATAGGGGGAATTGTGAGGGATGGCTCACAGTGAAGTTCCCTCATTAGTATCTCCCTGCCACGCTCCTATCTCTCTCCTACACTCTGCCTGAGTGTGAGAGATGGCCTGCAGTGTAGTTCCCACAGGCCTAGTTTCATTCCTCCAGAAAGCCTTGAATTAAGTTTCCATTGTCCCCAATAAGCTTCTATTTTTCCAGCACCATGTCAGCATGGGGTGGGGTGGGGAGCTCAGTACCTGGTCGCTCCCAGTTCCTAGTACACATATGCATCTAGTCCAAACATGGGCATGTTTACTTCTATTGGGTATTAGCTGCCGCGTTTAGAATGCACACCCTGAGTACCCAGTCAAAGGAGAAAAGGGTAAGAGAGAGGGAGGGGGGTATCGAGTTAGGGGATAAAAAGCGGCTCCCAACTTGTACTCTCCTGGCTGGCAATGGTGATGCCCTTTCTCATGAGAAAGCAATAAACTCCTTTCTGTTTTCTACCTTGAGAAGCCTCTGAGTTTTATTTGAAATAGGAATAGCTGCTTCACACAGAGAACAACATAGAGTTATGGGAAATGCAGACTGTGTAAATATAACATAATAGGGGATTGGGAAGCTATCAGGAGAGGACTCTGGGAAGAGGGGCCCTTGGCCTGAGCCTGGAGGGAGCTAAGCGTTCCAAGAAGAGGAAAGGCTTTTTCAGGCAGGAGGATGTAAGCCCCCAAGGCAGAGGACAGAGCCTGGCCCCGCAGAGCAGCTGAAAACTACTGGCTAGGAGGGTCAATTTCGTTTCCTAGCAGGCTGTGGGACACAAGAGCTCTCTGGGCCAGCTCAAAGCTAGGAATCTGCCAAGGTACAAGGAAATATGTAAAGTTTCCAGGCTGGACTCTGCTCCCAGCAGGAAGGAGGCCAAGTCACTGCCGTGCCCACGACCCTTGAGGGCCGCTGCTGAGGGGACCCATGGGCATGGTGACCCAGGTCCTCGTTTTCCCACTGATCATCTATCCCCTGTCCCCCTGGAAATGACTCCAGCTCCCAGAAGACGCTGCCAGAACAAGGTGCCCAGGAGGCCTGAGGATGTCGCGAAGTCTGCTGGGAGTTGTAGTTCCAACCCTCCCCAAAATTTAAAGGGGTGGGGCAACATGTCTCACCGGGGTCTCAGGCGGAGAAGGCGGCACCTCTTCCTTCTTAGGTTCAGGACGATCCAGAGGAGCTGGCTGGGCAGGTGTGGACAGCAACTGCAGCAGCAAAGCGGCCAACAGCCCCCGGGACAGCATGCTCAGGGCTACCTGAGACAGGTGGACTGAGTTAGGGGAGACTGGGCTTGGGGTCAAAGCCCCTTCTCCTTTCCCCTGGCTTCGGCCTCAGCACTCTGGGCCCCACTTGCCCCACAGAACCCGCGACCCAAAGCTGCAGAAACTACAAGTCCCATGAGGCCTCGGGGTAGGGTCGCAGCGCAGCCCTGCCAGACTATCCCGGCTGTTGCTGGGAGATGTAGGCCTGTCCCACCCGTACACTGCCTGGGAGAACATGGAGGGAACGTCTCGGCCTCCCTCGCTCTCCTCCAACCCTCCCTCCACAGAGACTAAGGCGCCCCTGCCCCTGGCCGCTTACGTCTCTCTCCGCACAAGCCGGGGTGGAGAGGTTCTCAGCACTTCAGAAGCGCGGAGTAGGGTAGGATGTTTCTGAGCCCGGATGCAGCCAGAGGTCAGCGGCCCGCTGCTTCGTTGGCTCCCAGACTTTCTATTCGTCCCGCCCCCGCCACCAAACTAACGAATAGAAAGGACCACTGTGGCCTGTGTGGCGATGTCACATGGACAGACTCCGCCCATCAGAGAGAGAGCCTGCTTCTCCCAAACTCCCAGTTTCAGCCCCGCCCCAGTCTCCTTATTAAGGGGAAAGCAGGTAGAAGGCTTGGAGATGGCCACCAAACTACAACTCCCAGGAGGCGGCACGCGGGCTTTACTTGCTCTTCCATATGTGTGGTTCCGCCGCCACTCTTCCTGGGAGTTGTAGTAGCACTGGTTTGGGGGCTACAGGGTGGAGATTAGGGCCCTTTAAGGAACCTAAGTAGGAGTATCAATTCCAAACTGGAACGTTGAGCCAGTTGCTAGGCAGCGGATAGGGGAGGGGGTTCAGTGGCTGCCAGGGAGCCTGGTAGTGGGGGCTAAGAGAAGGTGGAGGAAGGAGTACTCCAGGGGGTGGGGGCTTGGCTGGTCCTGGGGGGATCCCCGCACGGGTTCTCAGAATATCAGGAAAGCTAGCTAGCACCTAGCCCCCCACCCAAGGACCTGCCCAGCCTTGGGAGACAGAGCAAACCAGGTATGGGGGAGGAAGGACAGATGAGAAACTGACCAGACTGTATGTCCCTTTCTTTCAGGGACCCTGAAATTTGTCTCTTCCCACTCCCCACTCTCATTGGGTCAGTTTCCCAAGCCCAGAGTGGTTTCTGGGGTTTTAGGGACCCAGGAGTCTGAGCCCCCCCCAGTCCTCATCCCCTCTGCAATTTAGCTGTCATGGCCCATGTGCCTTAGCCTTTTAGATACTCAAAAGTTTGGGGCAGTTCCTTGTCCTCAGAAAGCCCAGCCTTAGAGCTCCAATTCATGTAGGAAACTATGAGTTTGCCCCCCAGAATAGCTCCCAGTCCTGTCTGGTGGAGAATCCCTTTCCCTTCTGGGTCAGGAGAGAAAGCTGCTAATGTGCAGAGGTGGATGGCATATTGGCTGAGGGAGAAATAGAGGAAGAGAGAAAGGGAGTAAAAGAGTGAGGGACTGGGTGACTGGGGCGGAGGAAGGGGCTGAAGCTATAAAGCAGGTATAGGTCTGGAGGCTGAAAGCCAAGGTTTTCCCAACAAGCTGCAGAGGCAGAAGGCAGGACTTTTCTGTCCTCAATCCCTAATCACAGCCCTCCAAACTAGAAATAGATCAACTGAGGGAAGACAGAAAGCAAAGTGGGGGTCAAGGCCAGGGGCCTCCCAGAGGAGGCAGAGGCCTTGGCTCCCTGATATCTGAGAGGGTCCGATGCCATACTCCTGGGTCCTGAATCGGGGTTGAGACTGGAGGGGCACATTCCTCAGTCTCTGAGGGAGGCTAAACCCCAAGAAGGGGGAGCCTAAATCCTGGGGCCTGATTCCTGTATCACTAGGATGTCTCAGGACAGTGACCTGTGGAGGAAGGATTCGTGAGTTATGCCTTTTTCTGCTGGGGGTGTGGAATGGAGTCTGGAGAACATATACATGGGTCCCTGTGTATTTGGGGGAGCAGGAAGGTAGGGAGTAGGCTACAAAAAGGCAAGCCTGGGGGAGGGGACACATGGATCCTTAGGGTAAGGAGACTCCTGGGCCCCCAGAGTTCGCCTGCTTGTAATCTCACAGTTCTGCTTTAGGAGGGGGGCTACCCACAGATTGGGGGAGCCCAAGACCACCCTCAGACCCGTGTATCTCTCTCTTCAGGAGTCTAGGCCACGAGCTGGCAGCTGTGAGGCAGCAGAAGCTGGAACAGCAGGTAATGGGGCCCCTCCCCTTATCCCAGTTCCCTGTTCCCGACAAAGCTGTGCCCCTGCCTGCTGTGTGACCTCAGAGTGGTCATTGGGCCTCAGTCTTCCCCTCTGTAAAACGGGATGAACAGGGAGTCTTGGGGCTACAGGATCTCTAAGTGCTCTCAGGTCCTCCTTCAGCGGCGTCTGTTTGAGAAGAAGCAGCGGCGCAAGCGCCAGGAGCCACTGATGGTCCAGGCCAATCCCGACGCTTCCCTGCGGTCCCGGCGGCCCCGGCGGAGAGAGGAGCGCGGCCCGGGGGGGAGCGGTGAGGGCTAGCTCGGGGAGATTGGAGGGCGGCCTGCTGGGCATAGCACTCTGGCCTGTGGCCTGTGGCAGAACCGCTGTTGTCCTCTAGGCCCAGGGAACCCCTTTCTCCTGGAGAACGTGCCGGAGGCGCACTTGCGAGCTGGCGCGCACATCGTGCAGAGCAGCGTTAACTGTGGCGGCGACCGTGGCGGCGAACGCACCCCTCGACCGGCCTTAGGAGGGGCTGGTAAACCCCGCCGTCCCAGAACTCGCCTCTTCGTGAACCCTAGACCTGCCCCTGGCTCCTGGGACGCGGGCTCCTCCACCCCCTCTCAGTCACACCTTTTTGATTCCCCCCAGTCTTCGCCACCTGGGGAACCCAGCTGGCCCTTTCCCCAGCCTGCACCTCTGCCTCCTCGGAGCCCGGATGACCTTGTCTCGGGCTTCTTTCCCCTCAAGACCTAGGTCTTCCCCTCCCTTGGTCCACATCAGCCAGAGGTCCCGTCGTCCCAAGGGCTGGGCCTCAGCTCTTGCTCTGTGCTCACAGACGGCTCGGACGCAGAACTGGAGGAGGTATCGGTGGAGGACGCCCCAGTCTCCCCGTTTCCCAGCAAGGAGCTGCCTGGGACCCGGCGCCGGGGATGGCCGGCTCGGCAGCGGCCAGGTGAAAAGGGGCTTCCCAGAAGATGGGGAGACTCGCCCCAAGCCCGGACCCGGGGTCGGGACAGGGGCCACCATCGCTCGCTACACCTCAACCCCACTCCTTCACCTCCACCTCAATAGGGAGAGAGGACACTCTGCGAGAGCCCAGCCCTTCGAAGACCCCAGTACACAAAGCAAAGGAAGAGACAGCGGCGATGCCGCAGGAGATGCCGGAAGGTGAGAAACTCTGAACTCTGGGCGGGGAGCGGGGCGCCTCAGAACTGGCTCGCTCTCTCTCTCTCTCTCTCTCTCTCTCTCTCTCTCTCTCTCTCTCTCTCTCTCTCTCTCTCTCTCTCTCTCTCTCTCTCTCTCTCTCGGCAGAGCGAGAAAGCTCTGCAGGGTATCAGACCGCTCAGGAGGAACTGGGAGAGCCCAGCTTTGGCGGTAGCCAAGGATCCCAGAACGACCTGAAGGAGAACAGGAGGCCTAGGGGGAGTGGTAAGCGGGAAACCAAGCAGCCGCGCCGACCCCAATGGCATCACTGCTCCCCCTTTGCTTAAAACCCCAGGGCTTTGGGCCGCCACGCCTCCCACAGAGACCCAGACCTTCACAGAGATAGATAGCATGTCTAGTTTGCCAGCCCCTTATCGAAGAACCTTGCAGAAATAGTGAGCCCCCAGAATTCCGGCCTCGGGAATTTCAGCACTCAGCTCCGTGCATGCCCTCTAGCAATCAGGTCCTAGGGTCCTACTTTGGACCCAGAAGTACCAGCCCTCAGCGCTCCCCACGCCTGACCCTCCTGGACCCTGGAGTTGGAATGCCCTAGCCCAGGGCCCCGGGGAGTCCCAGCGTTCCCAACCCAGTACTCTCCCCGCCTGCCAGGACCGACACCACCTCCGCCAATGTTTCCCACAGAGGAAGAGGTGGCGGACGGTGAGGAGAGTAGGGGCTACGAAGCTTCGGCCACCGGACTGAAACGCCGCTCGCAGCGAGGCCGAGACCACGGTGATTCGGTGTCGGGCAAGGTCAGCTCAGAGCTGAAGAGGGGCTGGTCGACGAAGAGACCAATCAGAGCTCGAAATGTCTTCGGTGGGGTGGGCCTGGGCATAAAGAAGCTCCTATTAGAGCGTGGAGCAGGCAGACTAGGCGGGGCCTTTGCACTCGCGCCCTGAATCGAGATGTAGAACGCTATTTTGGAGAAGGTGGGGCCACAGTGGGTGTGTCTCGGCAGGGGCGAGGGAATGCAGAGCCCCGAGCCTCCTAGAGCGCCGGAGTGGCATTCTTGAGGAACAAAGAGTAAAGGGAGCGTTAGGGCGGGGCGGGGAGGTGAATTCCACGCTGAAAGAGGGTAGTCGAGCCTAGGAATGCAAAGACCTCGATTCGAGACCTTATTCTGGCACTACTTGCTTGTGTTACATTAGAGAAGTAACGAACGCCTTTGAGTCTCAGGTCCCTTACCTGTTGTATCTGTAAAGACGCAGGAAGGGAGAATTTATGGAGTCTAGGACTCCCTAGTAATTAATGGGAGAGGGGCAAATCCCCGGCGGCCAATGGGAGGGCGCTCCGCGGGGGCGAACCTCCCTGGTGGCCAATGGGAGGGCGCTCCGCGGAAAGCGCAGCTCACACGTGGACCGCCACACAGGATAAGGAGGACAAAGAGGATGTGGAGGCGGGGGCGGCGACCATGGCGCTGGAGTCTTCCGAGAGCAGCGGAGCCGGGGCTGGGACAGGCGATGTCGGGAAAGCGCCGCACTCCTTGGCCCGCGCCCCTGGCCCGCAGCCTGGCGAGGACATGGAAGCCTACGTGCTGCGACCGGCTCTTCGCAGCCGGACCGTGCAGTGCAGGATCAGTCGAGATAAGCAGGGCGTGGACAAGGGCATCTTCCCTTTCTATTACCTCTACTTGGAGGAGCCCGATGGCAGGAAGGTGCGCCCCGGCCGGCCTGCGCTCTGGACCCTGGAGTCCCTGGCCCCAGTTCCACAATCCATAGTACCACCTCCCATTCCTCAGGCCGCCTCCAGAAACTGTGGTCCCTAGAGCCCTGAATCCAAGAGTCCCTGACTCCCTCTCCTAGGACCCAGGAGCACAAGCCCCCAAATTCAGAATTCTTTACTTGGTGGAACAAGACTTCTCAGGCTCCAAGGCCCCAGGCTCATAGTGGAAGGACTCCAGTTCCCCAAACCCTAGGAGTCTGAGCCAAACGCCCATACCCTGGAATTCCTATCCCCGTGATCCAAAATACCAGTCTCCCCCTGGCCCTTGGACCTCCCCAATACCTAGTCTTTCCCTCACCTGACCCAGGCTTTCCACCATAACCCTTTAGGACTTCAGGGCTTTTGAGGCTGACCTGTGCTGCTTCTCACCTTTGGCCCCCAGCCCAGCCCTCCCAGAGTAGCCTCCCTAAATCCCTGTCCCACCTCCCACCGTGACTCCTCAAAGACTCAGAGGCCAGGATTTAACTTCACCCCTGCTTGTGAAGAATAGCAGGGAGACCCTAAGATATTTAACTGGCGGCCTCCACCCCACCCCCCACTCCTAGCATTTTCTCCTGGCTGGGCGCAAGAGGAAGCGAAGCAAGACTTCCAACTACCTCATTTCCCTGGATCCCACTGACCTGTCTCGAGATGGGGACAACTTTGTGGGCAAAGTGAGGTGGGTCAGAGGCTGGAGGGTGGAAACCTGAGCCCTAATATGGGCTGGAGAGCAGGCATCCTTGGATCTCCAAGGGAGTGGGGGCTGGAGGAAAGGGATACCTGGGTGGGCAGAGTTTGCCAGGTGGTGGAAGGGATCTACGAGGTTTGGCCAAGGTTTCCCAGAGTCTCAGAGGTCTTGTCCTACTGGCAGGTCTAATGTCCTGGGCACTAAATTCACCATTTTCGACAACGGGATGAACCCAGAGAAGAAAACCTTCTTGCCCGAGTCTACCCGAATCCGAGAAGAGCTGGGGGGCAGTGTGCTATGTGAGGGCTGGGCTGACAAGGGGGGGGGGCGGGAAGAAGAGGGGAATAAATGGTGATGGGCAAATCCTGGACCTTTCTTGCAGGAGACTAACATGCTGGGATTCCGGGGGCCTCGAAAGATGACAATTATCATCCCAGCTATTGATTCCCAGAACCAAAGGCTCAAAGTGCAGCCCCAGAATGTGAGTGAAGCTCAGAGCCAGGACAAGGAGCTGGAAAGGGGAAGGAATCTCCTGGGTCCCTGAGAGTGAAGCTGAACACTTAGACATTAGGCCTCGAGAAGGAAGCTGGTGGACACCAAGGCATGGGCCCCAGAACAAGATTGGACACTGGGGGACATAGCACTGAGTAGGTGGGGCCACTGGAGTCCTCAAAGCAGGCCCAAGTGGTGGTCCTTGTCTTTCCCCAGGAGCAGGAATCCCTTCTGAGCCGTCTGCAGCGTGGGGCCACTCAAGGCCTGGTCCTTCTGCAGAGCAAGGCCCCGTCCTGGAGTGATAAGAGCAGTGCCTACGTCCTCAACTTCCATGGGCGGGTCACTAGAGCCTCGGTCAAAAACTTCCAGATTGTGCACCCAGATGACTGTGAGCCCCGGGGCAGGGCCCCAGAAGGGGAAGGACAGGGAGGGAAGGGAGCCAGGCCCCCAGGTCCCAGCAGCCCCTCCCATGAATATAAAGCCCCACATCAGTCAGTCAACTAGCAACAAGTAGGCTCTAAGTCTGTCAGTCTCTACTCTCCATGAGCTCCCCGTCCAAAGTGGGACTGAGTACAAAGAAAGTGTAGACAGGATAAATTGAAGATAATCAACAGAGAAGACGCTAGCATTACTGGGGGAGCAGGCAGGTGGGGATTTATCTGGGACTTGAAGGAAGCCAGGGGGGCCAAGTGGGGAATGAGGAGACTGAACATTCCGGGTATGGAACTAGAGAGAGAGGTAGGCCCAGGGCGTCCCAACCATGGATGGGCCCAGGAGCACGGTGCCCAGCTAGGGTTCCTGTGGCACCTCCACTCTTTCCCCGACTTCATCCCTGCAGGGCTGGGGCAGGGATGGGGACTGGACTACAGCACCCAGGAGAACTTGCAGCAGAGCCCGCACCGGGCTCCCTTTGCCGAGCTCTGAGGTGGCTCTGGTGGCTGATGGGTATTGTAGTCCCTCAGCCAGGGATGGAGCCGTGGGTCTCCACAGCTGCCTCTCCTCTCCTCTAGCTGACTATCTGGTGCTGCAATTCGGTCGTGTGGCCCCGGACATGTTCACAATGGATTTTCGATTCCCCCTCTGTCCCCTCCAGGCCTTCGCCATCTGCCTGTCCAGCTTCGATGGGAAGCTGGCGTGTGAGTGACGTCCCCCACCCCCGGCCCACATGGGACTGGTGCCTAATAAAGCGCTACCCTCCCCCCACGAGGTTCCTGCCTGTTCTTCCTGACTCAGCTTTCCCAACCCCTCCTGAGCGGGGACACACAAAGGAACTTAGCTCTTGAGGGCCGGGGGGAGCCCGTGAGCAGTGCCCAGATTGATCGGTGCCTTTTGGGAATTTGTAGTTCTGTCTTCTTCCATCGCTCCACACCCCCAGTATTCCATCCGTGGAATCCTAGTCTAGGAGCCCCTCTTTTTACAGGAGAGGGAACGGAGGCCCAGACGGGTGACTTACTCAAGTCCACAAAGTTGGCAGAGCCAGGGTCCGTACTCAAGTCGCCTGACTCCAAGACAGCAGGGGGTAAGGGGTGTCGGCTCCCAGAGAAAGACAAGGAAAGGAAAAAAGACTAAGAGAGTGAGAAACTGAGACTTGTATCCAATCGATGACAACCTTGGGGAGCCCCCCATGGCTTCACCCTTTGGTTATTCCTGCCAGCCTGGGGTCACCCCTACCCCCAATTCATTTTCCCTTGCCCTGTCCAAATTGAGGGGGTGGAGTGGGAAAAAATATTGTCAGAGAGACCCAAAAAGATCCCTGAGACTGAGACATACAGAGTCCCTCAGAGCCAGAAAGACCTAAAGATGGAATCCCCCCGAAGAGACATTGACAGAGACTTCGGGAAAAGAAGAAGATTGTCAATAGGCATAGACACCCTCAAACTGGAACACTGACAGAGCCTGGATACAGAGATACTAGCACCCAGTTACAATCAGGCAGAGACAGGCACAGAGAAAGAAGTTCGCTGACGGAAATGCAGACCCTGGAGAAATCCCGTCACAGACTCAGAGGGCAGAAGAAAGATGCTGTGGAAAAAAACCACTGGAAATAGAAGGCCTGGGTTTAAGTCCTGCCTTGGATGTTTACTATCTATGTGACCCTGAATAAGCCACTCACAGCCTCAGTTTCTTCATCTGTAAATTAGGGAGTTGGACAAGATGACAGTTTAGGAACCTTCCAGCTCTGGATCTAGGATCCTGGGAAAAAAACACAACCTCTTGGAGCCTCAGTTTCCCCATTGGTAAAACAAGAAAACTTCTGAAGTCCCTTTCAGCTCTTGATCTCAAACCCTGGGCGTGTTAGGGCATGCCTTGCCCTCCACTAGAGGTGCATTAGCTCCCAGATGCGTGTTGAAGCTTGAGCTCACAGCAAACTGAGCACACCATATGCCCCCCCCATCAGCCTCTAGTCTTCACTTCACACTCCTCAATGCTCCCCTATCCAAATTCCCATCAGGATAGACATTAATTCCCTCAAAATCGATGCTTATCAATTGGTTCTTGCTCCCATACCCACTAAGTTGCCATATTTTTGCTTTCCCTTCCCAGAATAGCCCCAAATCCACTCTCATTTAGACAGGCTGAATGGTAGTGACCAGAGAGCAAAGCTAAGTGCCAGGTTGTGTTGCTAAACATCGGCTACAGCTTCAGTAGCCCCAGCTGCTTGTGGTGGAGTCCAGCCTTGCAATGCCCACCCGCCTCCTGTGTTCTGTCCGGGGGAAACAAGAGGTTCCCAAGGTCATTGGGCTGCTGAGTGCTTGCAAGCATCCTCAGCCTTACAGACCAAAGATAAGAAGAATGGTAGGAGCCTCCATCAGTTGGCTGAGTCTCCTTCCACCACCAGTGGGGATTGGCTTTACTTCCTGGGAATCTTCTTTCCAGTTAGGAAGGTTTCCTCTGCTAAGCAATGGAGAGGTTGAAAGTCTTGCCAGCTAAAACCAGCAGTTGGGTCCCTCGGCAGGCTGCCTTGGGCAAGCCTTCAGTTTCTGCCTCCTGATGGGAAGTCGAGCCATTCCAAGAAGAGAGAATGAGAATCCCCCATGACATCCTGGCTTTGGAAAGTCCTGTCAGAGCATCACCTCTGACAACTGCCCCCTTTATGAATGGTGCCTCCCATAGCGACTCCAGCTCCCCACTCCTGTCTCTCATTGGTGCCTCCAGATCCAGAAAATGAAGGGGGAAGAGTCACTGGCGGGTGGCACAAGGGGCAGACATCTGGTGGCGCTTTCAGCCAAAAACGGACCTTGCTTCTTGACTTGTCTGAGTGCCCATTTCATCCTTCCATAGTGGAGGATCCAGCAAAGGGAAAGAAATTCTGCTCTGAATCTGATTCTCACTAACTGGGAGGGACTGGCTGCTGGGGGCGGGAATGACAGGAACCCTGGGAGGGCAGGGGAAGGATCGCTGCCTTCCAGAGTGTGTGAGAGGAGGGGAAAGCTGGGAAGAGGCTGACTTGCACCCAAGCTTTTAGGCAAGCCGATGCTAAAAAGTTCAGAGGGAAGGAGGGGGGTACCCATAAACTAAGATGCTCAGGGGGGTTCAGCTGAGAAGGATGGGAGATGCTCCAGACAAAATCCTGAAGATACAAAGAGGATTGCAATAAGGAAAGAAGGGGATTTGTGTTGGAGACAAATCGAAGAGATAAGTGTGGATGTTGAGGAAACTCGGCCCACTTAGCCAGTTATGATCCCAGAGTAGTCCTGCAAAACCATGGAGGGGGCAGCTGGGTGGTACAGTGGATAGAGCACCAGCCCTGGAGTCAGGCCTCAGACCAAACACTTGACTAGCTGTGTGACCCTGGGCAAGTCATTTAACCCCAATTGCCTAAAAAGAAAAAAAAAGCATGGAAAAACCACAGATGGAGCTGAGCCCTGCCCAAAGGGCAGGGGAGGGGACTGTGAGATTAGAAGGAAAAGGATCAAGGAAGGGGTGGGTTCTGGGTTCCGGGTTCCGTGCTCAGTGTTCCTGAACCACCTCCAATTCCTTCAAATGGAACTCCCTAAATTTCCCTGACTCTCTCAATCCACTATTCCCCCAACCCAATTACTGTGGAAGGCCCTGCCACACCCATCACCCAAGCATGCACACTTAGTCATTTTCTATTCCTCATTCTTCTTCTCCCTGTAGACCCAATCACTTATGTTGCTCAGGCATCCATCCCCTCCTCTCTCATGCTAGTTCCTATTGGTCTAATGCAGTAGCCACCTAATTGACCTGTCTGCCTCCAGTCTCCCCTCTTCAGTTCTCTCCACAACTGCCAAAGTAGATAAGGTTGCCCTTATGGACAGCTCTGCTCAGAAAACTCCACAGATTCCTTCTAGTCTCCAGAATCAGCTATAAACTCTTACTTGACATTTAAAGTGTTCTACAACCCGGTTCCAACTGACCTTTCCAGATTTGTTACTCATCACTCCCCTTCACGATGTGGCTCAGCCAAACTGGCCCCTTTGCCATTCTCCCATGGGCCAATCCATTTCCCACCATAGCGCCTTTGCACCATCCTTCATGCCTCGGCTGCTCTCCTTCCTCCCCTCCACTTCTTGGAATCTCTTGTTTCCTTCAAAACTCAGCTCAATTCCTCCCTGTGATGTGAAGCCTTTCCTGATCCTGCCCCACCCACCCAAACTAGCAGTGTCCACTGCAAATTAGCTTCTGTTTATTTTTGTGCACTCATATAGGTATATTTTGTCTCTTCCAATAGAATGTAAGCTGCTTGAGGACAGAGACTTTTTGCTTTTTCTCTGTCTCCAGCACCCTAACCAGATACTACAGTGCCTGGCACATAGTTGCCTGTTGATTGACAAAGCTATCTAAATCCAACCCAACCCACCAATCCTACCACAATCCACCCTTAATCAATTTTTAGCAAAGTCATGTATTTACTGAGATAGCAAAGAATAATTGGTCCAAACCCTTCCCTCCAGAAGTGGGACTCACTCTTCATGTCCATGGGAAGCAGAATGGGCCCCTTACAGAGGCAGCGACTCTCTCCTCATGGAAGGTTTTCAGGCAGGGGATGGGTCATCACTTGTCTTGTTCCCGACAGTGGGGACTCATCCCATATGGGTGACCTGGATACTGGCTGACATACACTGTTTTCCAGCTCTCAAAAGCTAAACTGGGTGCCTAAGTTACATGAATGTGGGGCATTGTTTCCTTGATCCTAGATCAATCAATCGACATTTATTAAGAGCCTACTATGGGTCAGACAGTGTGCTAAGCCCTGAAGATACAAAAAGAGGCAAAAAGCTAGTCCCTGCCCTCAGGGAGCTTACAGTCTAACCCATGTAGGATAGGGGTTAAAACATTTAATTTCCACTGGGCCCACAGGAGTTGGGGCACTGTAAGGGATAAGAGGCCCCCATGCCCTATATAGCCATGTAGTCAGGACCAGGGCCAGTCCTGGGAACCCTGGCCTCTAACAGGAGAGGAGCTAGGCCACCTTTACTCATAGTTTTCATATAGCCCAACCCTGGCCCCCCAGGGAAGCATCACATAAAGTTGAAGTTTAAGTGATTTCTAGGGTTTCCCCAAGAAGGCGAGTTAAAAACGTATTCCAGGAACAATATAAATGAGTTACAGTACAGGGATTTACAAGAAGGGCTGGCCATAAGAATACGAGAGAATGGTGCCTGACAGATGGAGGTGCTTAATAAATGTTTATTGACTGCACATTTGATAAAAACATAATTTATAACTATACTATTGCTATTACCCCCTCTGTTTGCCCTCACAGCTAAGTCTGTGATGACTATTACTGTCAGGTTTATGGGGATAACCCTAGAGGTCGCCTTTGGAGCCCCAGCTTCTGAGCTTCCCATCAACAATTCACCCCTAGAAAATTTGCTTCTAGGAAGACATTTATTTACTAAGATAGCATAGTAGGAAAGTTCTTTACAAAACATTTTCTCCAGGACATGGGGCCCACTCCCCCCTAACTAGACTCAGTTTCCGTGGGGACAGTAGTTCAAACATATAGGATCATAGTGGTGAAGCCCCCACAGAGAGGGGGGTACTTCCAGACTCCTGACTTTGGGAATCCTTTCCTTCCTTATCTATTCCTCAGGCAGCTCCCCTGGACCAGTGATGCTCCTTCACAAGGCTTGGCCTCCTCAGCTAGGCTCTGAAGATTTTATTGTGTCCATAGCTAGCACCACTCTCTGCCATGAAGGGCTCACACTTCCTAAAGCTGTCTTTCTTGGGTG